CACACTAACAATAAAACTAGCTACCACATTTGGAGATTTTATCATGGCCTAGGCCCCTCACAGAAGCAATCCCATTTAATTCTGACAAAAACCATGTGAGGAAAGAACTAACACCCTGTTTTATAGATGGAAAAACTGAGGTTCAGAGATAAGTGACTTGGCCAAGTCACAAAGCTAGTAAGTCATGGAACTTGAAATCCAGGGACATAGACTCTTTAATACTGGGTTATCCTGCCTCACTTATGATAGATATCAGAGGCCCTTCTTTTAGGGATCAAAGACACCCAAATTAATTGCCAAGTTTAATTACAATACATCCTGAATTGAAAGGGTTCTGTTTTCTTGACACTAAGTGATAAGGATTAGTTATCACTTTCACTCCTATTCCTTTTTCTTAATGGAGGAAATTTTAGCAGCACCTCTTGAAGTTGGGTCTGGCACCATGCTTTTACAAACTACAGTTATTTAACAGATGTGTTAATTTTATTAGTCTTTGGGAGTGATGCCTAAAGTTTTATGAAGTGTGTGTGTATTTGTGTGTATACAGTGAAAGAGGCTGAGGAAGAGAAAGATAGCTCATAATTCCTCCTGTGGTGGTCCACAGAAATGGTTGGAGAGAAAAAATATGGAGAAATACTACAAAGTAAAGTGTTTTTTTAAAAGATAAAATAGCTATGGCAAAGAAAAGCTGAAAATGTGTCAAAATGCTTTGTTTTGTTCTTTTTTTGATAGAAAATTATGGAAATAGAAAGCCACCTAATATGATTAGTTATTAGGTTGACAAACTAATCAATTCAGAATCAAGCCTTTGATCAAACCTGTCAATTTCAGTTGGGCACAGAAGCTTACGCCTGTAATCTCAGCAATTTGGAAGGCCAAGACAAGCAAATCACTTGAGGTCAGTAGTTCGAGACCAGCCTGGCTAACATGGTGAAACCCCGTCTCTACTGTAAATACAAAAATTAGCTGGGAGTGGCTGTGTGCACCTGTAATCCTAACTAGTCAGGAGGCTGAGGCAGGAGAGTCACCTGAACCCAGGAAACAGGTTGCAGTGAGCCGTGAGCTGAGATCACACCACTGCACTCCAGCCTGGGTGACAGAGCGAGACTCCACCTCAAAAAATAAATAAAAATAAAATAAAATGCCTGTCAGTTTAAATTTATAAGCTTATAGTATAATGAAACTCATATTGTCTTATAGATAAAAATTACATATGTTACTAGCATTTACCCACATATTTTGAAAGAGTACTTTTATAAACTTATAACAAGATTTTCCCTCATAAATCTAAGCTTAAATGTGATAATTTATACTAGAACTGAAGTTACTACTGTTTAATATCACATATGAAAGGAAATTATGGAATGACAGATATAGGTGATGATAGGATTATAATTCCATTTTTAGATGAGGAATTTCATATCATTAATTTTGTACATTCTGTTAAAGAAGACATCAGGCCAACTAAGTTAGTAACTTCTCAGTAGCTGTGCTGAAGTGATTTTAAAAGTAATACTGTTTTTCAGGAGGGAAATCCAAATAAAAGAAATCATGTGAACTTCACTATGTGAAAGAACTTTCTTTGTCAATGTTAATAATTTGTCAGATTTTTTTTATGACCTGAAACTATTCTATGGCATGCAGTAATGGTTTATAATCTAGGTTTTAAGCCCTGTTGGATATCCTAAAGCCAAACAACAGGTATGCTGATGGACAGTTCCTGGCTCTTTTTACAACTACTACTTAAGGTCTAAGATTGTTCATATAAAATTAAGTGGCATTTACTACATTTAAGTCCTTCCCTAAAGAACCATGCATAATATCATTTTATAGCTGAAACTGAGGCTCAAAGAGGTAAAGTGATTTGCCTAAGGTCATCTGGCATGCAAATAGCAGAAGTAGGTCCCAAACCCTGATCTTCTGGGGTACTCTCTCCATTGAGTTACTTGGGTCTCTCTTTGTCCGTAATGCAAAGCACTGTCTTGCACCACTGATAACATTATACTTTGCTTGTTGTTAATTTGTTTCCTAATCTTTAAGTGTTGTCAATGTGTACATATTTATTAGATCTCTCAACAGCGGATATGTTAAACCACAACACTGGTATTATACCAACATAATTTAGATTGTGGCAAACTCTATAGACATGACCAGTTTCTTCAATAAAGTATTTCAAGGAAAAAAAAAAGTAGGTTGGGGTACTTGTGTTAGTCTGTTTTCATACTATTATAAAGAACTGCCAGAGACTGGGTAATTTAAAAGGGAAAGAGGTTGGCTCATGCCTGTAATCCCAACACTTTGGGAAGCCGAGGCGGATGGATCACGAGGTCAAGAGATCAAGACCATCCTGGTCAATATCCTGTCTGTACTAAAATACAAAAATTAGCTGGGCGTGGTAGTTCATACCTGGAGTCCCAGCTACTCCGGAGGCTGAGGCGGGAGAATTGCTTGAATCCAGGAGGTGTAGGTTTGCAGTGAGCCGAGATTGCAGCCACTGCACTCCAGCCTGGCGCCTGGTGACCGAGCAAGACTCTGTCTCAAAAAATATATATAAATAAATAAAAAATTAAAAGGAAAGAGGTTTAATTGACTCAGTTCAGCATGGCTGGGGAGGCCTCAAAAAACTTACAGTCACGGCAAAGGCAAAGGGGGAGCAAGGCACCTTTCTTACAAGGCAGCAGGAAGAAGAGTGAGTGAGTAAAGGGGGAAAAGCCCTTAATAAAATCATCAGATCTTCTGAGAACTCACATACTATTAGGAGAACACTATGGGGGAAAACCACTCCCATAATTCAATTACCTTCACCTGGTCTCTCCCTTGACAAATGGGAATTGTGAGGATTACAATTCAAGATGAGACTTGGGTAGAGGCACAAAGCCTAACCATATACATTAAAAAAGACAACGGACATACCAACCATTGTATTTTGGAACTTGTTTGGATCCCGATTTGAAAAAACCAAATGAAAAAAACTATTAGACAATCAGAGAAATTTGAACAGTGTATATTTAATGGTATTAAGAAATTATTATTAGGTCTAATAAAGGGATTGTGGTTAAATATTTAATTTTTAAAGATTCTTTAAAAAGTCTTTATCCGTTTTTCTGCCTTTTTTTTTTTTTTTTTTTTTTTAGACTGAGTCTCTGTCGCCCAGGCTGGAGTGCAGTGGCATGACCTTGGCTCAGTGCAACCTCTGCTTTCAGGTTGAAGTGATTCTTATGCCTCCATCTCCTTGTGCTTCAGCCTCACAAGTAGCTGGGACTTCAGGCTTACGCTACCATGCCTGGCTAATTTTTGTAATTTTAGTAGAGTCGGAGTTTCACCATGTTGGCCAGGCTGGTCTCAAACTTCTGACTCAAGTGATCTGCCCACCTCAGCTGGCCTCTCAAAGTGCTGGGATTTACAGGCGTGATCCATCACACCTGGCCAAAAAGTCTTCATCTTTTAGAAGTACATATCCAAAGAGATGAATCGATGTGATGTTGGGAATTTCCTTCAAAATAAACAGCAGATGAAGATGATTGGTCTTAAGTTGAAATTGCTGAAGCTGGGGTATATCATTTGGCTTTCTTTAAAGTATGTTTGACATCTTCCACAAAATAATGCATTGTTCAGTGATGAATCCAAAGGAGGTCATTTCTTTGCTTTTATATTGAATAGTGCTTCATTTTAGGAAAGACTCTGATGGGACCTGAAAGGACTTTAGAAGTAATTAGTCCAATCTCCACATACTCCTCCTTTTCTTTTGGGCAGAAAGCAAAGAGAGAAGAAAGAAGGGAGAAAAAAGAAGAAACAGAAAGAAGGAGGAGGAGAAGAAGAAAACAACAACAGTGATAATGTATTGTTTGCTCTCAACTTCTAAATTTACAAGACAAGAAAACGATAGAAGAAAACAGAGATATTATATTTCCTCTGGAAATAACTTCTAAATTTACAAAACAAGAAAGCAATAAAAGAAGAAAACAGCGAGACATTATATCATTTCCTATCAAAATAACTTCTAAATTTACAAAACAAGAAAGCAATAGAAGCCAGAACTTGTTTGTCCACTGACACTGCATGTGCTCTACCTAGTACTATCTCTACAGCTTTATTTTTTTTTCTATTACGATGATTTACTTTTTTTTTCTGAAGCAGAATTATTTCCAAACTTAATAGTGTCCGCAATCGCTCCAACCAATTTGGTTATTTAGGTTTCGAGCTAGATAACCTCCAAAAGAACTTTGTGCTTGACTTGAACACACGCTTACTGCAATCTGAGAAGTATTTAGGAGGCCGTTCCCTTTACGAGTCTTGAACCATTCCTTAGGTCTGAATTTGGGAGACGTTAATGGGAAAATGTCGGGAGACAGCATCTCAATGCCTTATTTTTGGTTTCCATTTTGCTAATTACTTTGTGATCTGGGGGCGGAAGAACCTATACCTTTAGATTTCCTTGCCCACGTGACAATGTTTCTATTTTCGGGGAATTTCTAAGGTACTGGAAATTCTCGGAGAGTTTACGTCAGCTCCTGCAAGTACAGTAATTACCGTATTGACGCTACTTGTTTTCAAAGGTCGGTAATTAGAGGTGCCGCGTGAGCACGATTTAGGGACTTTAGAGTTTAGATTTAAGTCATTATTTTTCTGTGATTTAATTTTTAAGCAGTGTTGACACTGGGTACCTCAACTAAGCTGGGTTTTTTTGTTTTCTTAATTCCCGCGAATATAACTCTCAGGTTGTGGCTGAGGCACAATGCAGGTAATACGCTACACTCACACTCGTTGAAGCCTACGCGGCTTCAGGAAGCTTTTGCAGCAGTAGTGTGCGCCTGCGCAACTGGTCCCACACTCAGTCGCCCGTCTCTCCCCGTCCGGCTAGCAGAGGGCGCTGTGAGGTAATGAACGCGTCCTCCGTAGGGCTCTGGAACAGAGCGTAAAAGGGCGGGAGGCGAAGCTTGCTGACGGACGTTCTAGCCTTGACTGCTCTGTCTCTATCGCCCTTTGTCCTCCAACCTCCCCAGGGCACTGGGCCTGTGGGCCTGGTTGCTAGGCGGAAGCTGGGCGCGGCTGCGGCCGCCGCGGCTGCCCAGGCGTTTGAAAAGCGGCTGCGCAGGCGGCAAAAGGTCCTCGGGCGGCGGGCTTGTCTCTGCCTGCAGACTGGCAGGGCTGCAGAGCGGAGTTTTCCTTGCGTCGGGGCAGGGTTAGGGTCTGGGCAGGCGGCCAGGGGCGGAGGAACTAGGCGCGCTGCAGCTGGCGGCCGTGGGACCGGGCTGCGGAGCGGGGTCCGGGCGTCAGCGACAGGGACCGGGGGCGGGCAGTGGGGGTCCCGCCGGGGATCCCGGGTTACCCGCGACTCACCCGGACCTCACTTCCCCCCCAGCCGACCTCGTCCCCGGACCGCCCATCGCAACCATGGTCTCCAAATCCGACCAACTGCTCATCGTCGTGTCCATCCTAGAAGGTGAGCGGCCTGAGGCTTGCTTTTGCAACTGCTGCTTCCCGAGTTTTAAAAGCTTAGCGTGGGACCGAGGCCTTGTTTACCCTAAGAACCCTGTCATCTGTGCTTTCGGGGTCCCCACAGACTTGGCCAAAGTTGTACGTAGTGAGGTCTGTTAGGCAATTGATTTAAACATCTCTGCAGGGATGTGAGAGCTATTAGGGATAAGTGATATTTAGCGTGACTAGCCGTAGCCGCAGAGAATCCGGAGAAAACGATTTTCATCTGAAGCAGCACGTCGATGGCTTTTATGTGTGAGCTGAACGTGTTCCTGGGAGGCGCGTTCTGATCAGCGGTTCCCAATAATATCACTTGTAAGAGCTTTGACTTGAATACAGGTTTCCTGCAATTGCAGAAATGAGGGCGGAGGCCATTCTTTTTACACGTCTTGGTGGAGGACTCAGTGGACTACAGTCCTTAAGAGGGCATATTATACGTTCCTTAAAAAGTGTGTTTTGGATGAAGGACGCTTGTTTATTGGGAACTCGTTGAGTGTCAAGACACTGTTTTATTTTAAGAATTAAACATTCCTGGTTCTAAAAAGCTAAGGATTTAGCAAGGAGAATGTGTCAGCAAATAATTAATCAGGATGTGGAAGACCTGATGAATGACCACCTCTGTGGGGAAGGTTCACCAGAGGAGGTGACATTTTTGGGGGTCCTACTGATGATTACGAATTTGTTGGGTGAAAAAAGGAAGGACATTCCAGGCAGAGGGAAGAACAGAGAGCACTTAAGGTATGGAAAAAGCAAGACACGTTTCGCCTTGCTTAATTAAATTCGTTCAGTAAATGTTGCTTAAATTCAGTATGGTTGGAGAACAGATTTGCAAGAAAGTGGAGGGCATAGGAGATAACAGGTGAATTGAGGACAGTTTACGAATAATATGTTAAGAAGGAGTCATCTGGAGCCAGAGCAGAGGACTGGCTGCATTTTTCCCCCATGGGAGGGTATTTTGTAAAGGCCTGGCAGTGTGTGAGGGGTGAGAGCGAAGGAAACATTGTAAACCTAATTTTTGAATTTTGGAACTGACTGACCAGAAGCCCTACAGAGTTGGAGCACTATTAACTGTTAGATTACTTACTGTTTAAAAACATAGAGCTGAAATAACCTCAAAATTTGGTTAACAACAGTTTTTAGACTTAAAACTGACCATGCTATGAGAAAACAAATGTCTCCTTTCCCTCCAAGGTTGTAGAGGCCTGCCCGCTTGGGGAGGTCACAGGACACACTATGTTGAGGTATAATATACATATTTACAATATGTAATATGGACTGTAAATACGGATTTGAGGATAGGGTGGGCGGGATGGCTGAAGTTCTTTGAGTAATACGCTTTAGATATGTGACAATAGAATTCTAGGTGTTTGGACACTCCAGGCCAGTCTGACAACCCAGGACATAAGTGAATTCATATGGGAAAGCTAGTTTTAGAGCAGCAGAAAATGAGGTGATGAGAGAGGCCTCTGTTAGAGCTAATTGGGAGAGCTGTGCGATGTATGTTAATACTCCTAATACAGAGTTTCAGTGAGAGCCTCAGACTTAAACTCACAAGGTTAGCAGTCAAGGTCTTTCTGACCAGCTTAATTCCCAACGAAGTAGTTTGTGCCAGGGTGAGCATGGTAGGTGGAACATTGAAAGATCAGCAAGATGACCAGGGCAGAGGAAGGTGAATATTTAGAAATACCATGGTGAGAAATGAGCTTGTACAACTAGACCGAAAAGGTCTTGGAGGATCTTGAAAGCCAGTTTAGAATTAACATTCCAAGAAACAGGTTGTTAGCGTTTATTCCAGGATAGGAGAATGCTTTTCTCGAGTTCAGTTTAGTAGCAGTGTGCAGGGAAGAGAACCTGGAGTCAAGGATGTCAGTTAGGTTGTTATGACAAACATACCCAAAACAAGCCTGTGGTCCTCCCTCCAAACTATTCTTCTCTTTTGTTTGTATTATATTTCCATTCATCATAACCATGCTGTTGCCTCAAGCCAAGAACCTAGGAGTCATCCTCAGCCTGGATTCATTCTCCATTTCTAACTTCCAAATGGTCACCAAGTATAATTGATTTTATTTTCTGAATAATCATACATACTGTGTACAAGTTTTTAAATAAATGAGTTTTCATCGTGAGTGCCTTGGTTTGGGGCCCTCATTATCCACCTAATTTTTTGTAACAATCTTTTCGGTAGTCTGATTCTTAAATGTTTTCTTCCTTTCCAGAAGTATCTAGACTGCCTCCATAACTAACTGGGGATAATCTTTCTGAAATGCAAACTGATTTTCTTAAAGTCCTTCAGTATCCTAAAGGGTAATGTCTGTATTTCTTAGAATGGCATACATGGCCCTTTGTGATAGACCTCTTTGCCTACCTTTTTAGTCTCTTCTCCCCTCATGTATTCTTCCCAGCCTTTCAGCTATATTGAGTTACTTGCAATTTCTTAACTACACTTTTAGACATGCCATTTATTCAAAAGAAAATGGTTAAGCTTTTGCCATGAACAAAATTTGGGCTGTGTACTAGATTCCAAGGATGAAAAAGACAGTTTCTGTTCTCACTGTATCATTGTCCACAGTGAGGCGGGCACCTGTTTGTTCCACTTCACATCCTCTGTTCTCAAGCCTGTTGGAAGCTGTTAGTTATTATAATGTGGAAAATATAGGTTATTTGACATATATGACATTCATTTGGGGAAGCTAGGTATCTTTTGGAGCCCCAGAAAATGAGGTCCTGAGAGGGAGAGTGATGCGATGTGTGAAGTCCTGTGTGAGGTCCTGAGAGCGAGCGATGCAGTGAGTAGCAGCAGGGATTTGCTTACTTAGTCGGTGGATAAAATGCCCTTCACTAAGATCCACCTTACCAGATTTATAAACAGGAGGACTAGTTGACTCAGTGCAAGATTCTTAGTGCTTCTTTGTTGATGTTCTTTATCTTCCTGTTTTCAGTTTTCTTGGTTTGTTTCTCTTAACTAGACCCTCAGTTTTTTGAGGGCAGGTATTCTGTTTTGCTCATTTTGCATCCTACCATCTGATACAGTACTTAACTCTGAATGTGTCTTCAGTAAACATTGAACAAATGGGGTTTGGCAGTACAAATGAAAAGCGACGTGTAGAAAGAATATTTGAATATTTCTTGATAGTATACAACGTTGTCCTTGGGAATAGGATGAAGGAATCCATGTGCCTATTTTTCTTTAGCTAATTTGGAAAGTAGTCTTAACTGAGTTAACAGAAAAATTAAGATGCAGGCAAGTTTGTTTTTACCAATTTATTTCCCAGCTCTTCAGATGACTGCTCTCTATTAAATACTGCTATAGTAATATCTAAAATTTGTGTAATCACATACTTTAATTCCAGATGTTGTTGAGATCATTCCCACTCAAAGTGTGAACCAAGGACGGTAGCATTCACACAACCTGTGATCTTGTTAGAAATGTGGAATCTTAGGCCCACCCTAAATCTGAGTCACAATCTGCATTTTAACGAGATCCCTAGGTGATTCATGTGCACACTGTTTGAGAAGCACTATATAGCTTTCCATTTGATTCATGTTTCTTATGAATTATGAAAGTGGGGGTATATGTGGGTCTATGTTAGTGAAGTAGCTTATGGAATGCATGTCAACCGTGCTTAACAGATACCAGTTTTAAAAAACATGCTAGGCTGGGTGTGTTGGCTCATGCCTGTAATCCCATCACTATCGGAGGCCGAGGCGGGTAGATCACCTGAGGTCAGGAGTTCCAGCATGGCGAAATCCCATCTCTATTAAAAATACAAAAATTAGCTGGGTGTGGTGGCGGCGTGGGTCTGTAATCCCAGCTACTAGGGAGGCTGAGGTGGGAGAATCACATGGAGGTGGGAGAATCGCATGAAGCTGGGAGGCAGAGGTTGCAGTGAGCCCAGATCGCGCCACTGTCTCCAGCCTGGGCAACAGAATTATGCTCCATCCCAAAAAAACCCAAACAAACCAAAAGACACATGCTAAATGATCCTGTTTGATTTTTATACACTTTTGATTAATCTGTATAGTCTTGTTTTTCCAGGTCGCCATTTCCCCAAACGTCCAAAGCACATGCTTGTAGTGGAAGCAAAGTTTGATGGAGAACAGTTGGCTACTGATCCTGTGGACCACACTGACCAGCCAGAATTTGCTACTGAGTTAGCCTGGGAAATTGACAGGAAAGCACTTCATCAGCACAGGTGATTATCATTTTCATTTTATAGTAGCTTCTTGATTGGTTTCTTATTTTTTGGGCTGTTATAAATAAATACAGATTGAATATCCCTTTTCTAAATTATTTGGGACCGGGAGTGTTTCAGATTTTAGAATATCTGCATATACAAAATAAAATGGCTTGGGGATGGGACCCAAGTCTAGACATGAAATTTATTTGTTTTACATTATACACATAGGCTAAAGGTAGTTTTATATAATATTTTAAATACATTTTTTCATGAAATGAAGTATATGTTAAATGCTTGTGTGTGGAATTTTCCGTCAGTGGCATGATGTCAGCACTCAACATTTTATAATTTGGAGCATTTCAAATTAGGAATGTTCAACTTATAATTTTATATCTCACATTTTAGTAATAATTATAATTATTGAGTGTTTTTTAATGTGACAGAAAATTTTTAAATCGTCTGTTATTTTTAATAATGACGATATTAAAAAAAAAAACAAGTAATGTTTTTAAAATTTCCGTGCAAAAGTCTGTGTTCGAAGCCATTGGACAGACCTGCTTGACATATGGCCAGACTGCAGTAAGCCCTGAGAAAGATACTAGGGTTTAACTAAAAACAGGTGCTTTCCTTTGATCTTGGACTTTTTTTTCTCAAGAATAAAGAAAAGTTGGATGTGGTAAAAAAAAAAAAAAACAACTAATAATAATAACTGCAATAATAACAGTTACATATCGGAACAACACTGTGAAGTTGGTATTTTTATTCCCCCATATTACAGATGAGGAAACCAATGCCTGAGATATTAAGCATTAATAACTTGCTTTAAGTCTGTTAGCTTGGTAGTGGTAGAGCCCAGCCAGTCCAGCTTCAGAGCCTAAGCTTTTCTACTACACTTACACTGAGCTGTTTGGGTTTTTTGTTTTGTTTTTTTTTTTTTTTCTCTCATGTGTGAGACAGTAGATAGTCTAGAAATACCTTGATGATACCTATTCAGTATTAAGTATGGTTGGAATTCATTGTAATTTCTGTTAATTTACTTATTGTATATTTACCTGGCTTGCCTAGTAAATATACAATAAGTAAATTAACAGAAGGGGTATCTAGTGAAAAGTTATGAAAGTAATTATATCAGGGATTTTTTCTAATTAATTTAATTTGATTTTAAACAAAAACACTTTATTAGTATATAAAATAGACTAAAGTTGTATATATTTTGTGTCCTCTATGACTAGAAGCAGGCAAGAACAATAAAAGCAATAATCTGATTTATTAAAGGATTGAAAATATATTTTCTTCTGGGAAACATGTTACCACTTTAATACTTGCTTGTTCTGAGTACTAGACTAAATCAAAATGGAAAGCTAAAAATGGAAAACAAGGAAAAATCTATTTCCTTCTACTGCTAGATTAGTCCATGGATTTATTTGAAGAAGTATTGCATTCTTGGAGAATATCAATGTTGGATTTCCTTTCAGTCGTGTCTGGAATGGAGTCCTGCTATGAGCTGTTAGGGCTTCCATTGTGTTAGTGCCAGGTTAGCACCGCTCTGATTGTTGTAGGCTGAGAAAATACAGATAAATCGAGTTTCTAAGTGATGATTTTGTGCTAAGTGCAGTTCTGTAATCCACTAGTTAAAAGCACTGGCAAAATCTATTCAGCTTAATGCATGAGGCGGTTTAGGGGTTCCCAGCTAAAACAGAACTCATGCTATGCAAGCCAGTATTGTGCTTACAGAACATGGTCATGCGTTGTATTATTTAATTTTTAATAATTTATATTTAATTTCTGTTTTTTTAGCTACAAAAGAGCTGTAAGCATGTATGTATATTTGTAATTCTATATTTGTTACAGTGTAAAATAAAATAGGTCCTGAGAGTTCATGGTAATTTTTTACTTTTAGAAAGTTTTATACATTACAGAAGCTTGAGAAACATTGACCTACATGATGGCTTCTTAGATGAAAGAATGTAAAAGATTTTTATATGTTTTGTATATTATTTAGTTGATGTAGAGGTTTGTAGATATAATTAATAGTTCTTGCCTGTTGAGTTTTTTAGATGATATAAAATATAGTTTAACAGAATTATAAGTATCTTGATAATGGACAATATTTTCAAAGTTAACAGAAAGTTTAATTATTAAGCAAAAGCCATTTTATTTATCACATGTTTTGTTACAGGCTACAGCGTACTCCTATCAAACTCCAGTGTTTTGCCTTGGATTCTGTAACATCAGCCAAGGAAACCATAGGTTACATCATTCTGGATTTAAGAACTGCTCAAGAAACAAAGCAGGTATTGCCCTTTTGATGTTTTGCTAGTGATTATGTTAGTTGATTATTTTCAGTAGATATCAGATTGATGAAAAGGACATGAATACTGATCAATCATAGGCTTGAGCCAATATGGGCAGTTCTTTTTTTTTGTTTTTGAGACGGTCTCGCTGTCACCCAGGCTAGAGTGCAGTAGTGCAATCTTGGCTTACTGCAACCTTCACTTACTAGGTTCAAGGAATTCTTCCTGCCTCAGCCTCCCGAGTAGCTGGGATTATGGGCAGTCACCACCAGGCCTGGCTAATTTTTGTATTTTTAGTAGGGATGGGGTTTTGCCATGTTGGCCAGGCTGTTTTCAAACTTCTGACCTCAGGTGATTTGCCCACCTTGGCCTCTCAAAGTGCTGGGATTACAGGCAGTGAGCCACTGTACCTGGCCAATATAGCAGTTCTTATGTTTCAGTTTAATTTGATTTAGAAAATCTCAGCATTTTAATCATTTCCTTGACCAAGAACTGTCTTTTTCAAAAAAAAATCTCTGAACTTGTATCCAAGTTGCTATTACTTGAAGCTTAACATGCCTAACCCCTGAGCTTTCCTTTTAAAGGTGGTCCGTCCTCTTCCAGTGTTCCTTGCTTTAGTGAATTGTCACCATTCTCCTTTCAGCTACACAAGTTAGAAATAACAGAAGTCTTCCTTAACATTTTTCCTTTTCCCTCCTCCATGACCACCTGTTCCAGTTTTTTTTTTCCCTCCCAATCCATATGCTATTCTGGTTTTCACTGCTGCCACTCCAACCTCAGCTGCTATTGTTTCTTACCTTGGCTATCATAATAGCTTCTTATTGGTTTCCCTGCTTCCTGCTCCTTGCATAGCCATCAGAGCAAGTGAACTTACTGAAACACACTTGAAGTTATCTAACGAGTACCTCTCTGCGCCCCCACTCTCAAAGAAAAGAACTCAGAATCCTGATTCCTGTGATAGCGACTTTTATTATTTAACCTGCTACTGCTTAGGGCTTTTTAAGTGTCCTCTGACACTTTTGTATGTGACTGACTTTAGAAGTCTCCCTTGCAGTTTTTCTGAATGTCTTGAGTCATAATTTTCTTATGGAAAAAAGAAAAAAAATTAAAACAATATCTTTTATTTTAAACTTTTTTCTTGATTTGAATCTTAAATTGGGATTCTGTGAAGAAAAATTTATCTCCTACTAACATTTTCGCTGCTGGTAGCATTGATTAGTCAGCCTAACCCAAAGTTGGAATAATTTAAAAGAAACTGACATTTTAAAATGCTTAAAAAGAGGACTTGTTTTACCCCCATCCTTGGGTACTCGTTACCTCTCTGCCCCTAGATCTTATCCTGAAAAGGTTTTTCCTTCTTTAGTTTTCCCTTTGATTGGGCCCTGATGTTTTTCTTAACCACCTTCTCTCATAACGTGCAAGTGTCTGGAAAACACTTCTGCAGTCAGTTTAGTTGCAGAGAAGGTAAATCCTTTTAAGAGGATAGTATCTGAAGGATGAGATCATGTCTGCAAATACTCTTGCCATTCTTTGTCACCTTGTTTAGTGCTTTAGGACAGTTTGTCAACATATTTGTAATCCAAGTTAGGGAGAAATGGCTCAGTTATTTAAACCAAATGCCGTATTGCCTATTCTCTCCTGTTTGCCAGCATAAATATTTGAAATTGGATAGTACAATATTTGAAGTTCAAAATAAATTGATTTTCTGTAAATTAATATAAACACACAAAAAAATCCAGATTTATTTTTCTCAGTTATATAACAGAGAAAGTCATGAATTCTCTCAGTAGCTGGAAATCTTTCTTTCAGGCTTATATTGAAAATTATAACATATTTGTCATCAGAAATACCACAACCAACTATATTATGCATTTTTATGTTTAAAAATTACGGTGATTTTTATTTAAATCTATGGCCTACCTAATTCTATTTTACTTACCAAACCTGACTTGAATATAAAATAGCAGTATAAGCACCATTTCTTATGTCTTTATACAACAAAGACAATATAAGCACCATTTACTATATCTATATAACAAATTATCAGAGTACAAAATGCTGTTTCCGTGTATTGAAATGGTGTTCCCACTGACCAGTGGTTCCTGCACAGATGATACATGTACCAGGATATTTTTCAGGTAGTCTTGAATACTAGAATTTCTGAGGTTGCTCTAGTGAGAATATTCAAATAATTTAGGATGCTTCATTCTGTAAGAAGGCTTTTGTTTCAATATTGGTTAAGTACCTGGGGTTCGTAATCAGCCACTCCACCATTTAGTATTTTGTTAATGCTTTTTGTTAACACTAATAAGATTTTCTTTTCTTTTTTCTTTTCTTTCTGTTTTTTTTTTTTTATTTTTTTTTTTAGGCAGGGTCTCACTTCTGTTGCTCAGACTGGAGTGCAGTGGTACCATCATGGCTCACTGCAGCTTCAATTTTTCCGGCTCAAGCAGTCCTCCCATCTCCGCCTCCTAGGTAGCTGGGATTACAGGCATGCACCACCATGCCTGACTAATTTTTTGTATTTTTAGTAGAGACAGATGGAGTTTTGCTATGTTGCCCAGGCTGGTCTTGAACTCCGGGACTCAAGTAATCTGCCTACCTCGGCCTTCCAAAGTGTTGGGCTTATAGCCATGAGCCATCCATCCAAGATTTTCCTTTGCTTATTGATATAAGTAGAACGAAGTAGATCTATGGCAGAAAGAAAAGGAAAAGGTATAACTTAAAAATGTGAGAAGATAGAGAAGCAGAAAATTGGTAGTTTTTTTTGTTTAAGGGATGAAGTGAGATTGGGGGTATAAGGTGAAAGGTAGAAAGAAGTATGTTTTCTTCCTTTTAATATTTTACCTCTTGAAGCATAAGAAGACAAGCAAAGAAAACAATCTAAACTTCTATGTAGTTTTTCCAGAGGGAAATTCAGTTGATGGCTTCCTAAGCAGTATTAATTTGTTTTGAGAAAAATGTGAAAAAACAAATTTTAAAGAGGATAAAGTACTGAAAAACTACAGGAAATTTATTTAGAATCATATAGCATTTCCCAATACATTTTTCCCCCTATTAACTATTAGGTATTTTGTTATTTTGTTATTCTCTAGGCACCAAAATGGTACCAGTTGCTGAGTAATAAATACACCAAATTCAAGTCTGAGATACAGATAAGCACTGCTTTGGAAACAGATACAAAGGCACCAGTGGATAGCTTTAAAGCAAAGGGAGCTCCCCCTCGAGATGGAAAAGGTTTGTGCATCATCTCCAAAAAACGTTCTCTGAGAAGTTCGGTCTTTGGACTAGAGCTTTAGGTAGAGGTAGTGTTATAGGGAGATATATGCAGGGTATAAACTGTGCATCAGACAAATATGACATTTTTACACATGTAGCACTTGTTGCTCTTAGCTCTTAGCTCTTATTTACAAATCTTAGAAATAGCAGAAGTTTTTCCTTATTTGATATGTAATAGAACAAAGCATAGCTTTGTATTGTTTTACAAATTTGCTACTTAGGACAATTCTCTTCCTTGGATGAGTCCAGGAAAGCCCAAAATAGTCATGCTGCTATCTAGTTAGTAACTCAACTGTAGTTTAACAAAACCATTATGTTTTTTCTTTTTTAATTAATAAACTTTATTTTTTAGAGCAGTTTTAGTTTCACCGTAAAATTGAGCAGAGAGTACTGAGAGTTCTCCTGTATACTCCCTGTCCCCACATACTTGCAGCCTCTCTTGCTATCAACATGCCACAGCAGAGTTGTGATATTACAATGCATGAACATGTCGTATCATTCATATCAGTGTCACCCGAGGTCCACACTTTACATTAGGGTTCTCTCTTGGTGTTGTACATTCTGTGGGTTTTCACAAATATAAATAATTTGTATCCATTATTGTAGTATCACACAGAATAGTTTCACTACCCTAAAACTCATCTGTGCTCCACCTATTCATCCCTCTGTGCTTCTAGCCCCTTGGCAACTATTGATCTTTTTTACTATCTCCATAGTTTTGCTTTTTCCAGAATGTCATATAGTTGGGATAATATAGTATGTAGGCTTTTTCAGATTGGTTTCTTTCCCTTAGTCATAAGTGTATGTAAGATTACTTTGTGTCTTTGCATGGCTTGATAGCTCATTTCTTTTGAGTGCTGAGTAATATTCAATTGTTTGAATATATCACAGCTTATTTTTCCACTCAGCTGCTAAGGGACATCTTGGTTGCTTCTAACTTTAGGCAATTATGAATAAAGCTGCTGTAAACTGCTGTAAACATCTGTGTGCAGGTTTTTGTGTGGACAGAAGTTTTCGGTTCATTTGGGTAAATATCCAGGCTTGCAATTGTATCATCTGGTAAGAGTATGTTTAGTTCTGTAAGAAATATCCACACTATCTTCCAAAGTGGCTGTGCTATTTGGCATTCCCACCAGCAGTGAATGAGATTCTGTTGCTCCATAGCCTTACCAGAATTTGGTGGTGGTAGTGTTTTGAATTTTGGCCATTCTACTAGGTATATCATAGTACTGCTTTATTGTTTAAGTTTGCATTTCCTCAGTGATATAGGATGTTGAGCATATTCACATATGCTTACCTACCATGTGTATGTCTTCTTTGAGGTGTCCACTCAGGTCTTTGGCTCATTTTTTGATTGGGTTGTTCATTTTCTTATTGAATTTTAAGAGTTCTTTGAATATTTTGGATAATAGTCCTTTATCAGATATGTATTTTTTTTATTAGTTATTTTTTATTATTTTATTTTTTCCCAATATGTGGTTTATCTTCTCATTCTCTTGACATTGTCTTTCCCATAGCAGAAGTTTTACATTTTAATGAAGTCCAGCTTATCAGTTGTTTCATTCATGGATTGTGCCTTTGCAGGTGTATTTGAAAAATTGTTGCCACCACCCAAGGCCATCTAGGTTTCTCTTTTGTTATCATCTAGGACTTTTATAGTTTTGCAGTTCACATTTAGGTCTGTAATACATTCTGAGTTAATTTTTGGAAAGGTTGTAAGGTCTATGTCTAGAGTTACTTTTTGCATGTAGATGTCCAGTAGTTCCAGCACCATTTGTTGAAAAGACTTTCTTTATTTCATTGCATTGCCTTTGCTCCTTTGTCAGGGGTCAGTTGACTGTACTATACTTATGTGATTCTATTTCTGGTCTCTCTATTATGTTCCATTGATCTATTTATCTGTTTGTCAATGCAACACTGTCTTGACTACTGTAGCTTCAAGTAAGACTTGAAGTCACTGTCAGTCTCTGACTCTATTATTTTCTTCAATATTGAATTGGCTGTTCTGGTTCTTTTGCTTCTCCATATAAATTTAAGAATTAGTTTGTCAGTATCTACAAAATAATTTGCTGGGGTTTTTATTGGGATTGTGTTGAATCCTTGTGAACATGCATTATCTCCGTTTATTTAGTTATTCGATTTCTTTTATTGGAGTTTTATAGTTTTCTTCTATGAGGTCTTACATATTTTGTTAAATTTATATCTAAGTAGTTTATTTTTGGGAGTGTTCATGTAAATTTTATTTGTTCATTGCTGGTATGTAAGAAAGCTGTTGACTTTTGTGTGTTAATCTTGTAACCTTGCTATAATCACTTGTGTGGTTTTGTTTTATTTTTTGAGAAAGGGTCTCTGTCACCCAGGCTGGAGTGCAGTGGCACGATCTCAGCTCTGCTCAACCTCCGCCTCCTAGGTTCAAATGTTCTCCTGCCTCAGCCTCCCAAGTAGCTGGCACTACAGGTGCATGCCGCCATTCTCAGCTAATTTTTTGTATTTTAGGAGAGAAAAGCTTTCACTACGTTTGCCAGGCTGGTCTCAACCTACTGATCTCAGCTGATGCACCCACCTTGGCCTCCCAAAGTTCTGGGATTACAGGCACGAGCCACCACACCTGGCCTTTTCTTAAATTCTTTTTTTGTTGTTGTTGATTCTTTCCACAGATTTTTTACATAATCATGTTCTCTGTGAACAAAGACAATTATATTTCTTCTTTCCTAATCTGTATACTTTTTCTTTTCTTTTCTTTTGCATGAGTAAGTCTGTAAGTATGATGTTGAAAAGGAGTGTTGAGAAGGGACATCCTTGTCTTGTACCTGCTCTTGAATCCTTCAGGTTTTTCACCATTAAGTACAATGTTAGCTGTAGGTTTTTAAGTATTCTTTATTAACTTGAGGAAGTTTCCTTGTAATTCTGGTTTATTGAGAGTTTTTATCATTAATAGACAATGGATTTTGTCAAATACTTTTTCTGTATCTATTGATAAGATTATGTGATTTTTTTTTCTTCATTAGGTTGTTGATGTGATGGATTACATTAATTGATTTTTGAACGTTAAACCAGCCTTATATACTGCGATAAATCCCACTTGGTCATGGTGTATAATTTTTTGATTTTTTAAAACCTTTTTATAGGGATGGGGTTTGCCCATGTTGCCCAGACTGGTCTTGAACTCCTGGGCTCAAGTGATCCTCCCACCTCAGCCTCCCAAAGTGCCGAAATTACAGGTGTGAGTCACCGTGCCTGACCTGTAATTTTTTTTACACACAGTTGGATTTAATTTGCTAATATTTTGTTGAAGATTTTTGGATTTGTGTTCATGAGAGATATTGATCTGTGTTTTTTGTTTGTTTTATTTTCTTTATTGTAATGTCTTTGATTTTGGTATTAGGATGACGTTGGCCTCATAGAGTGAGTTAGGAAGTATTCTTTGTTTCTATCTTCTGGAAGGGACTATAGAGAATTGGTGTAACTTCCTTAAATGCTTGGTGAAATTCACCAGTGAACAACACATCTAGACCTGGTGTTTTCGGTTTGGGAAGGTATTGATTATTGACTCGATTTCTCTAATAGATATAGCCCTATTCGGATTGTCTAATTCCTCTTGTGCGAGTTTTGGCATATTACATCTTTCAAGGAATTGGTCTGTTTCATCTAGATTATCAAACTTGTGGGCATAGACTTGTTCATAGTATTTCTTTATTATTTTAATATCCATAAGCTCTGTAGTGATCCCATCTTTCATTTTCGATATTGGTAATTAGTATCCTTTCTTTTTTCTTTTTTTATTATTGAGCCTGGCTAGAGGCTTATTGATTTTATTTATTTTTTTCAGAGAACCAGCTTTTGATTTTGTTAATTTTTCTCTATTGATTTCCTGTCTTAAGTTTCATTGATTTGCCCTAATTTTTATCATTCTTTTCTGCTTACTTTGGACCTACATTGCTCTTCTTTTTCTGGTTTCCCAAGGTAGAAGCTTAAGTGTTTGATTTTTACATCTTCTCTTCTAATAAACATATGCATTTAATGCTATAAATCTTTCTCTAAGCACTGCTTTCATTGCATCTCACAATTTTTGTTGTGTTTTGATTTTCATTTAGTTCAAGATACTTTTAATTTCTCGAGATTTCTTTTTAACCCATGTGTTATTTAAAAGTATGTTGTTTAATCTCCAAGTATTTGGGGATTTTCCAGCTATCTCTGTTACTGATTTCTGGTTTATGTAGTCTGAGAGCAGACATGATTACTGTTCTTAAATTTGTTAGGGTGTGTTTTATGGTCCAGAATTGTTCTGTGTTGGTGAACTTTCTATGTAAGCTTGAGAAGAACGTGTATTCTGCTGCTGTTGTTTGAAGTGGTCTGTAGATGTCCATTGCATCAGTTCATTGATAATGTTGAGTTCAGCTATGTCCTTAATGATTTTCTGCCTGCTGGATCTGTCCATTTTTGACAGTGTGTGTTAAAGTCTCCAAGTTGGATTCAACTATTTCTCCTTGCAGTTCTATCAGTTTTTGCTGCATGTATTTTGATACTCTGTTAGGTGCATTGACATTAAAAATTATTTTGTGTTCTTGGAGAATTGACCCCTTTATCATCATGTAATATTCCTCCTTTCCCTATTAACTTTCTTGGGTTCTGAAGTCTGTTCTATCTGAAATTAATATAACTACTACCACTTACTTTTGATTAGTATAGCTTTTCATCTATGTTTGTTTTTCTGTATTTAAAGTGTGTTTCTTGTAGATAACATGTAGTTGGATCTTGTTTTTTGATCCACTCTGACAATCTGTTTTGTAACTGGTGCATTTAAACTATTGATGTTCAGGGTGATTATTAATACAGTTGCGTGAATAACAGCCTTATTTGTTAGCATTTTATAGTGTTTCTCAGAACACTGAGCTGGATATTCCTTATTCGTGTTTTTGTTTGCTACTCTTTTCTCACATTTGTGGTTTCAGTTTTAA